GGGGAAATTAACGGGTATCGATCGGAACTCCGCCCCCGGCCTGGACGAGACTCGATCCGGACGCATCGATAGGAGTGATAAAACGAGCGAAAGGATCGGGGGTCGTTTCCAAAAAAAAAAATGACAACCAGAGATCAACTCGTTGCCCCGTCATCCCTTGAATTCTAAAACCAAGAAATATGAATTTTTCCATCTACCCTATCCTATTTTTATCCTTTTCGTCATTATTTTATTATATATTATTTTTATCCTTTTCGTCATTATTTTATTATATATTATTTTTATCCTTCAGCGAGTTTCTCCGAGTTCCTCCGAGTGATCCCGAGTGGCGCCGAGTCCCTTGAGCCCGCATAGGTCGCGGCGACTCGTTAGCCCGGCGCTCATTCGCGAGGGGTTAATCCCCCGGTGCGGTTCGCCGGGAGCCGTTTCCAGCCGGGGGGATGCATCGCGTGCCGAAATGCCTTTCCGCAACCCCGGGCACCCTTTTTCCCCCGAGACCGCGCCGGGTCCATTGAGCGCGAGCCACGTGGTTGGCGCCGGGCCAGCCACCGGGCTCGCCTGAGTTATGCTCATAACTATACGCGCGGACGTGGCTTCTCGCCGCGATTCGTAATGCGCGAGCTATGCCGCGCCGCCCGCGATAGGTACTCGGAGGATTCTCTTGATCCGAGGGGCATAAAGCCAGATCTCCGACGAGGAGACCGAATCTCGAGACGGAACCCGCGCACATAACCTCGTCCCCGCGATCAACGGCGGCCATGCCGCACTTTTTTCCAAAGCGCGATAAAGAGCGCGCTAAAAGGGGCACAGTCCGGGAAATTGTCCCGAACGCTCTTTTTCAAGACGTGGAATCGCAAATCCAGTCGTTTGCGGCCTCCATATTTACAGTTGCAATTTCTGGGCTCGTTTACATCGGCCGAGACGCCCTGGTCGTTCCTTTCCTTTGGGGGTAGGCTTCGGAAAGAAATGTCGATTTTCCCGATTTATGACGGTGGGGGGAGAGGTCGAATTTCTTTCTGCCGACATTCTCAGGGTGCAACGAAATGGTCGAAGTTCCTTGTAGCTCCGATTTTGTACGAAATTGTAGATCGCCTCGGCTCGCCGCAAGGAGGCCTCGAATGCGCTCGATTTGACGACGGCTTGCTTATTAACGGCCCCGTCGAACGGGACGGATCGTCCAATCGGCCGTCCGGTGATTTATTTACGCCCAAGCTGCCGGGGAAATTGCGACCCCCCCACCCGCGAATTACGTAACCGGCGAGTGCGCGCCCCGTTTCCCGGGGTGCCTTCTTTCTCACCCGCGCGCCAATTTACCCCATTCGGTCGAACTTTTGTCCGATTCGTGACGAACTCCCGTTAACGAGCATATTCAGGGGAGCGCTCACCGCTCGTAATAATAAATCTCGGTTATCTGCCCCCGTCGTTGTTGCGAAAAACGGCTCGAACGAGGTAAAGGGGGGAAAACGCGAGAAAAAAAATGATCGCATTGCCTGGCGGTCGGCTTTTTGATAAGCTTCCCTCCCTCTTTTTTTTTTTTTCTTTCCTTTATTTGCCCACGATTTTTCGAAACGTTTCCTCTGGATTTTTCGCCCCGTTTGGACGCGCATCGCTCGTCGACTTTCGAAGGCGATTCAATTTCCGACGCCATTTTAATAATGACGTAAATCACTCGCATTAATTCCCGACGACATGTGGTCGCAACCGCCACGTGGGTACCGCACGTCATCTGCACGCGTCTCACGTCACGTGCTGCGCTATAGTTGTAACGAAATGCCCCGGCATTAGTATAACGTGGACAGGGACGCGTTAGGGATTTATTCGACCGTCTGGTGTTCGCAAAAATGCGAAAGCGTCCTCGAGGCGCGTTATCTCGACAACAGGCATCCAGTGGGATTATCAGCTGGCGGATAATTGAAATATTCATGACGGCTGCGGCGTAAAAATCCCCCCCGACTCGTGTTCGTCTTTCGTTTAATGACGGTGTTAATTACTGAAATTTATTCATGCCGACGACAGCACGACGTGTATCATCGCTAGGCGCGAAGTGGATCATAAATTATCCCCGAGTGGGCTCTATTTACGATTAATGGCTCCGAGTAGCAATATCGAGAGTATCGTTGTCACTCGTCGGGAGACCTGCGGGAGAAAAATCGAGAGGGCATAGGCGAACTAATTGTAGAATTGTCCCCGCGGATGCGTTTAAGAGTGGGTTAATTTTATTTAAACGTAACTAGTACGGGCCGAAAATGTTCCCGCTAGAGAATTGTTTATCAATGGGCGGAAATTCGATTTCGTAAATGAATGTATTCCACCGGTAATAAGCGCATCCTCGGCCACGATGTAATTTTAATAATGAAATTATTGCCCCCACACGCCGTGTTTTAATCTCTTGAATAATTCACGCCTCCGCCACCTCCACGGCGAGATATGTAAAAATCATCTGCCTCGTGTTTATTTTTAATTTCCTCGCTAATGGAAATTACTTAAACTTGTTCCTGCCCCCTCGTTTCCCAAGTGTTGCATATCGGTGTGTAATAAAACTTGTAACGCGTTGCATGACGTAAGTCGGACTTGGGCGTGATTCGATATCACCTGATCCGCGATTTAACTAATTGAAAAGAAACTGTTAGTAATAAAAGCGGATATTTTGTAAAAAAGTTCCGATCGGTGGTCTGAGTCGCGGTATTACCCTAACGTTCATAATAGTTCCCGGTAACGAGACCTCTGTTTGCATAACTAGTCCTCGAGCCTTTTTTAGAACATATTTAACATAATTTATCATGCAAATTACAACGTGCATTATACCCGAGGATGATATCGGCGAGTTATTGTGACAAACATTGCAATGTAACTACCTGAGAGTCACGGCGGGTGATTAATCAATGAAAAGAAAAGCAATGATGATTTTAATTTTTTACATTTCACCTTGCAATTACCTTACTTTACCTTGTTTCACCATTTAGTTATCTAACCTAAGAGGTGCATAATAGATAAGGCGGATAAACAAATTATTCTAATAAAAAAAAAGCGATCAAGAGTTTAATTTTTTACACGTTACCCTTGCAATTATTTTACTTTACCTTCTTTTACCATTTATTTGTCTAACAAAAAGGCGCAGGCTCGCGAGTGTCGCTTAAAATTCTATCCGGAGAGTATCTTCGTGACGGTCGGGCTTCTCTAATCACTTGTCGCTTATCACTTATCGCGGTTCATTGCACGGCGGCGAACTTGAAAGCCCGGTTACCCCGAAGAGAGGGTGCCCTATCGAAAGGAATGTCCCGGTGACGACAACGGAGACTGCGAATTTCCTCCCCCGCCGCCCTTCGCGCATCCACTTAAGCTCGAATTTTTATTCGCCGGAAGATTGGCCGGTGAAAAGTGGGTGTATGTATTATTCAACCCGGGCAAATGAGACGTGATTCGTACACGCGAGCGCGCCTCATGTTCCATTCATGACTCGGGCCGGATCACGCGGAATGAAGTGGCTGAACGCTTTTCGGCAAGGGGTAGGGACGTACAAAAGTTTCTGCCACCCCTCCCCGACCGGCCAACGAGACTTTTAAATACATTTCCTCGTGGAGTTCTTCCATCCAGGGCTCCTGAAAAGACAGAAAACGAGAGCCCGAGGAAGGAAACCGATGCCGGGATACGCGCGGTCCGCGTTCGTTGCCGTTCGCCATTTTCCACCCCTGGCTCGCCCTACCCTACCTTTCGAGGCTTTTCGGCCGAGCACCCGTTTCATCTCCCGTTTGTTACCGAGGAGCCCTCGTTCTTAAAAAAAAGAAAAAAAAAATAGAAACAAAAACGTAGAAAAGTAAAAATACAAAATCCTCCCCGAGCACCCTCCTCGACACAATAGGGCTTCGACTCGCGGCTCGACGTACCCTCGCGCACTTTTTACAAAATTCTTTTTCTTTTTCTTTTTCTTTTTTCTTCCTTTCTCCCCCTTTCCTCTCGTCCCTCCCGCATAGATCGCGACGTCGGCGAAGACTGCAGGTACATTTCCGAAAATCCCGAGGGACGCGGCTGGAAAAGCCCGCGACGAGAGGGGCGCTCTTCATATTTTTGGATCGCGCGTGGATAAATATTTTATCGCGACCGAGCGAATATCTCGCTGTACCGCGAAGTGCGTCGAGCCATCGCTGCCGCTTCTGGCAATATTTGGTTTCTCCTGATAGATCGCTCGCAGATACGTGTACTCGTACTCGGTCATACGCGCACTCCTACCCGTACGCTCGGCGCGGAACCTTGCTCCCCCGAAAATCCGTCCTCGAGATCCCGACTCCGCTTCCTGGTTGCAAAGTTCACCGCGCACTATTCCCGTACCGTCAGACAGGGGGACCGACAAAATAAAAGCACGCGACCGGGCAATAATAGACCTTTGTGCCCGCTCGGACGGCGATCGCGTACACAGAGGAGGGGTATCGAATCGCGGCGCCTCCACCGCCTCGCCAGCGCTAAACTCGCCCCAAAGTGCCCTCTTCGTTGGCTAACTATTATTAGGACCTGTATATATATGTACACCGGATCGACTAATTACGCAAATTGAAATTCAAATACGCGATGACAATTGAATTTCCCGACTTCGTCGCTTTGGTCGCCCGGATGAGATCTCAGCCCCTCGGAAGGTCTTCCAATGGATATTTTTAATATACCTATGTATTCCATATTTTTTGCAATCTCGAATTTTGATATTCCGAGACGATCGGGAAGAAATGATGCCTCGCTGATTTCGAGGCAATCGTTACCTCGAGTTTGAGGTTACGGTGGAGTCGCTTCTTTATCGCCGGTGCGTTAATCGAGAGATTTTACGGGGATCCAATTAATTCGAAATCAATGCCTCGAAAAATTCTCCCCAGGGTGGGTTCTCCGGTTCAACCCCTTAGGCGCGTTCCATCCCCGGGATGCCACCGCGGAACGTTTAATTATCGGTCTAATTAGCGGCATCGCGTAATTAATGCAAAACTCGTGGACTAATAACCTGTCGCTTTTTGTTTCAGAATCACGAATACGGCGGTTACGGAGACGAGCCTCGGAGGAAAAGGTACGACGTGCCGATTTATTCCAGATTTTCACCCCTTTTTATCAGTCTGATAGCTTTTTTGCTCATTTAATTAGGAGTCCGATACACCCTGGAAGAAATGATAAATTACCCGGCGATCGCATCTGCGGAAAAACTGGAGCTTTAAAAATCCCACCAGGGCTCTGATAAGAACTCGAACGGTCGTATCACTCTTAGATGAGGTGTGGGAAAGACCAGGTTAAATCCTTCCAAGTCGCCGCTTTTCCGGGGGAGGGTCGAAGAAGAAGATCGATCGCGTCCAATCACCTAATCAAGCGATACCGAAGTCCGTATCGACGCGTGATTAGTTCGATCTCGATCGCCGTCTTATTCGACCTGATTAGTTCCCAATTTTTTTATGCGACCGTTTAACTTGCCAGATATGGAAACGATTCCTCACCTCCTCTAGGAGCTGCTCAAAGTTCGAGTGGTTTATTCAAGAAAGCCGGAAAGTCGGGGCTCGAAATGAAAAGTGCGAAATAATCGCGGGGATCGAACGAGGGGGGATTTCTTTTTCCTCCTAATTCCCGATCGGGCCGAAAATAAAAAGGGGTTCCAATTCGATTCAAGCAGGATCCTCGTGCTCTCTCGGAGCCGGCATTTCGAGAGGGCACGCTTTGAATGATTCATCCGGGAGACCCGGACGAGGGTAATGCGAAGATTGCAGCCGGCCTTATGGGGCTTTCCAGCGGAACAACTTTTTCAGGGAAATGCGATGCCCCAGTTTTGCCGCGGTTGTGCTCCAGCCACTTACTCTGCTTATCGCCCGATATATATCACCGCTCTCCAGATCTAGACTCTTGCTCGCCTCGCCCGACAAATGCGCTGCACGAAAGGATATTAAATCGAATCGATCGGCCGCGAGCAAATTGGTTGCATTTCGACGAATCGACGATTCGCCGCCCTCGCATTTGCACGACTGCTTCGCGTTTATCTTGCTCAACCGCGACCGGAAATATCGGCTCCGTAATGATTAAAAATAGAAAAAAAAATATATATATATACATATTTCTCAAATTTTTTCGCTGGTCTATGGAACGGATTGAAATTAACGTTTTTTTTTTATTTTCCGCGAGAGATCCGCTCGTTGCATAGGTACAAGGGAACTGCAGTCTCGCGATGCATTCACGAGTTGCCTCGTCTTACTCATCCGCAGTCCCAAATATCAGCTCCATTTTTTACAGAGAGAAATACATATTCCTCCCACAACGCGCTGGTTTATGGGAACGGATTGAAATTTCACGCTTTCTTCATTTTCTCCGGGAGAAATCTGCTCGAATAGGTAAACGGAGCTGCAGTCACGCGGCGCGGATCCAGGAGGTGCATCGCGGCGCATGCGCGTATCGGTATCGCGCATCTCGGGAGGAGCGGGACCGATTGTAATCGATATCCCGCAGCGGCCCCTGCGATTTCGATTATGGCCCGCGGCCATAAACAAATTATTCGAGTTGAATATGCGCTTGACACGGGAGCGCCTGATACATCCGGGACGGCGAGCCTCGACGGCCATTTTAATTAATTTTCCCGGGCGATAGGTAAGCCCTGCCCGACGGTTTTCATCGGCGAGTTCTCCACCCCGACGTCCGTTTAATTGCGCATTATCGTTATGAAGCCAATAATGTAGTGGGCGCGAAGTGCAGCCGCGGGATGCGTCGCGTCAGCTGTTCTTGCACCGCGCACCGAGCAACGTCATCTTCGCCCATGGCGGTCGTAAATTCGGCAATAACACCCTCGACGACCGCGATCACCGACAAATTTCATTTGAAAATACTGCGGTGATATATACGCTTGTTTTTTTTTTTTTTCCCCCTCTTTGCGAAGGAGCGCGGTTACATATAACAAACGTTGGCGGAGGAATATACACCGCGTTTATTGGCCGCCGAGGTAAACCAACAACCGCAGATTGCGAGTAAGGGTGTGTCGGTGAAATTTACCCTGGTCCCCGTCAATCGTATGGGATTTGTAGTCCCCCACGGCGACGCGTTTATCGACGAGGGGCGATTTTTCCAAAATTCTAACCGGCGTATTTTTTTTCCACTTCCAGGGAGGACAATAATAAGCCGAACCACGTTCTCCTGTTTACAATCATCAATCCAGTTTACCCCATCACGGTGGTAAGTGCAGGACGCTAGATGGATTTTCTTATTTAGCCTCACATCAGACCATTGGAAGTGTTTGTCCAGAATAGGCGATCGCGAGATACCGAAAAATGAGTATGAAAATAATAGATATATATTAATGGTATTCAAATCCCAGGTGGGATAATTTTATTGAGAACTTGAATTTTCAATGGACTGATGAGCGATACCGTAGCGGGAAAAGGGGTTTTGTCATGGCCGAGGGTCTCTCTCGTAGAAAGCGAGACCGGAAAATAAGCTTTCGAGTCGACCTGTACTCTCGGATGACCCTCGTAGCAGAGATGGGTGTCGGCGACCTGGACCGAGTGTTCGCATAGCTCTCCCAAGACACAATACCCATTTCCTCGTGGTCCCTTTGCCAGGGGGACTAATTAAAGACCGAGTATCTCCTTTCCTCTCTTATGATCTCTTGCGCTTTTCCGCTCCTGGCCCTCCACGACTCCATTCCGCCTCTTTTCCGGTCTCTCGATATAATCGAACGCGATTCCACGTGACGATCTAGTCTGCAAATGGGTTAGATAATTTTTTTTATCCATCCGTCGAGCCAGAAAAAAAAAAGTACATCCTTCCCGAAAAGATGCATTGGAGATGCATCTTGACTCGATGGACTTGCTAGGAGTTGCAACGCCTCGGCTCCTTCTAAGACCTTTTGGGACGGCTCGTCGCAATCGGACAAATGTCCGGCGGAGTAAGCACTGTCTCCCTAAGCGGACGTTTAATTGAATTCGCCGTGGACACGCGAAATACGCGGCTCGGATTTATTCCGCCCCGAGAGGACGGCGATTTCGCAGGGCCGAGCGCCGTGCCAAGTCCGCGGCGTGCCAAAGGGTACAGTCGACGTGCAAAGCCTCTCTCGAATGGGTTTCTTTGGACTCCCGGATCAACCTGGATCGATCGGCCCGATTCGACTGTCCTTCGAGAGCTTCGAGAAACGAGGAGAAAATATTTTCCTAATTTTTTGCCGAATTTTTCCGAATTTTGCGAATTCCCTTGGGGCACGGGGGGAAAAAAAATCGCGAGAAAAATCACTCGTCGTTTCGGGAAACGGAGTGGGAGTGCTTTTCCCTCGGAATGGAAAAATCCTCGTAGACTCGCGGCTTAATGCTCTCTCTTTCTTTCTCTCGCTCTCCCTCTTTTTCTCTTTCTCCTTCTCTCTCTCTAAACGTTTCATGCCGCGAACTCCACGCCGGCTTTCTCCGGGGAGACACACAGTGGTCGACTTATGGCCGCTCGTTTGGAGTCGTGGAACGGCGGCGCGTATTTACCTAACTTATTGCACGACCACGACCCAGTTTGCCACGAGCGAAAGGAAAAGATCCGACCCCTTGAAATTTCCTTCCCACTGCACGCGCCCCTACGAGTCCGCCCTGGACCGGCGAGCTTTGTTGGATCCTCTAAAGCTCGCGACCGCCTTCCAGTCGGTCCTGGAAAGTGGCTTTACACGTTCGAATAAATGCGGAATTCCTCAAATTGCGCGCGGCTACTCGGCAAACTGCAGTTCAAGGATCTAGGGAGTCCTTGCATCCGGATTATCTTTGGCACACAGGGATGCTGCGAGGAAAATCGATCTCCTCGTAATTTCAAACGAAAAATTTCTTTCGAGGAAATTATAAATAAAAAAAAAATCGATCTTGAGTCTCGGTCCCACCTCGGGTTATTGACTTATCGTCCCACGTAATCTCTCGAGAAATTGTAAGGGCCTGAAACGTGCGCCGGATCCAGTTTCCACGGTCCGTGTAATCTTATCCCGCTCGTCGACGCTCGCATAACCGTTCGAGGATTGATCTCGTGTATGCCGTAAAAGTTGAGTGGGTCGCTCGTGTCATTTTGCGCGTACATAAAGGCCGAGAGTATGGCCGGTCTCCTGTGTCTCCCTGATTAGTCAAGAAGCCTCTCGTCCGATACCACCCGCCGCCATCTTGGATCCACCGCGGACGCGTCTCATAAGTATGTTGCGAAATCCCCTTTTTTCCTGATAGTATAAATAATTGACAGTAATTAGACCGGGTAGATGGATCGGGCATGTGAACTCGAGGCGTGACTAATAATTCAACGCGGTATCGATTTATTCTCGTAGATTCGAGGGACATTCCTGGGTAACCGGTCTAGAAGTCGATCTCTCACTTATCCCTGGAAATCCTTGATCTGGTTCGGCAGTAGGTTGATACCAGGTCGGATATCTGTACGTGCACTTTCATCGAGAATAGTCATTCCCCCTGTTGGGTCATCGAGAGCGATCACCGGAGGTTGTTACACTTCTTATGACCTCGGATCTATATCTCTTATCACGCAGGTCACTGGAACTCTTGAAACACCCGTGAAAATCATCCCAGATGACTCGTCTCCTAAATCCGGGGTCCCATTTCCGGTCTTCGACCTAATTTCCTAATTTTCACGTCCGACGTCATCGGAGACTCGATTAGAAAGTGACGTCACGGTTAGTTATCTTCGAGAGGGTTTTTCAGGCGCGCTCGTTACTTATAGACACGCGCCATGAAGAGCTATTTTCACCGGATGATGGACGACTCGAGACCCTCCGCTCCCTGGGGGGTCTTCAACGAGACGAGGCTGTCGGCTTTTCAAGGCCACTCTTACGGCCCGGAAAGGAGAAAATGATTTTTTGCCCGACTACCGTACGCCGCATTCGATCGATGCCCGTTTGATCTCCCGATTCGGGATGCTGCATCTCCCCCCGCGGATTAATCTCGTCTCTCGTTCGCACGATTTGCGGATACGAAAGGAGGGCGCGGAAAAATAGAGCCGGTCGGCTCGAGCTCGGGATAAATTCTCTGGCTGGAGACGTGAAAACTGGATGTTCCTTCGCAGCTCGTCCACCTGACACGTACGACGCGTCGACGCTCGGGACGGCCCGTTCTCGTCCTCGTATACTCTTCGGGGCCGTTCCCGATTCTTGGCTTTTCTTTCTACTTGCATCTCGTACCCGAGGACGATTCTGGGCCGTCTAATTCCGGAAATCCACCGGGATGGACACGTACCATCCCGCGACGCGTTAGAGTTCCGTGCAATTTTCGTAATAAAGGTAAACGTGCACAATGGTCGGTCGCAGTGCCAGGGTCTTGCAAAAAGTGGACGTGCACGCGACGTCGCGCCGATTTCAGGGAAAAGTGTCGCGCCCTCTCGGAAAATCCCCCACGAGGAGTAATCGAACGTAATGCCGCGGAAAATTCACGCCAACCGTCCGAGAGTGGAAATTAAGACGCCTCGAGTTAAAGAGGGAAGTCAAGGCCGATGGCACCGAGTTGGTTCCGCGTCTTGGAAGCCATCTTTCCCGATGGCTGATTCACTTATACCCGACTTTACCCGGGATTAAATATCGGGGACTTAATTGTCGGAAAATTACCCGCCAGGGAGTATATCCTTAGGAGCCATTCGTTCCCGTCGCTGGTTCAGCCTTCGCCGGATAATCGCATCCGTTGATTCGAATTCAACTCTTCTCGGTTAATCGCAAACATAGAGGATCCTCGAGATCACGGAAAGGAGTGACGCGTGTTCCGGTCTATGCCAAAAGAACATAAAAAAATAAAATAAAATAGAAAACAAGACAATAGTGGTGAAAGTTTGAGTATTCGAATTCCACCTAGTAGCTCACCGTTCCGTAAATTACGTATATAATTTCTTCTCGTGGATCTCACTTACTCGGAAACGTTTTAATCTTCCCTCGATCTCTAACTCCGGGGAGCCTAGTCTCCTCCAAAATTGGAGCAAACGACCCAGTTTCGATATCCATCGGACACCTTCCTGAAAGTGCAAGCCGTTCGCTGTCGCTCCGCCTCTTCGAGGTCTCGCTCGATTTCCGGGTTTCCGGGTACCTCCTCAAGGTCTTCCTCGGGAGGAGACCTTAAACCAGGTGGACCTAGGCGCGCCGTCGGTGAAATATCGCGGAAAAGCTCGGAGATAACTCTAAAATACGGGATACGCCGACTGGCTGAAAGCGTCCCCGGGTCCGCCGGCCCGGTGGATGGAATTAGTTCGCGCTCGTAATTCGCAGGGCGCTCATGAAATTTGCAATTCACAATGGTAGCCCCGTTTTCATTAGGACTGTGTAAAACCTGGCTGATGGAGGGACCATATGCGGAGGTGCACGAGGGGTGTATATAAGCCGGCTGCGGGGACGTTTAATTTTCCCGGGCGGCCTTACAGGCTCGTTTCGGTTTCGCCGGCATTTCGAGGCGTCGCGACGACGACGTCCCTTCCGAAGGACCCGGACAGAATTTTATCCCGACGCGAGGAATTAAGGAATTAAGGAATGCCTCGTTAATTGCCGAATTCTAACCTCGAAGGAAGGACGGGGCATTTAAATGCCCCTCTACCCACGTGGCCGGAAGCTTCCCCCCTCTCTCTCTCTCGATGTAGTACTATTTTATTTTAATGCGATTTCCGGTGCATGTCCCAACCGAAGCGTCGTTTATCCTGGAACTTTCCTCGGGGCTCCTTTTATGTTCCCCTGCATGTTCCCGACGTTTGGAGACGCTCGATCGAACGGGAGCACCGGGGCCGTCTCTCTCCCCTGATGCGATTTTAATGCCACTGACAGTGATAAGAGGTATCACCGTTTATTCCCGGCAGATACCACCGATACACCGTGTCCCGCTGAGCCGTGATATTTATTTATGAATATTTCCCGGGAATAAATTACAGGAATCAAGACCGCCCGCGAGGAAGCTTCGCAGGGAAATTTTCCCGCGGTTGATCGATCAATCGTCGGTACGGTCGATTGGTATTGGTGAGCGATAATGGTCCTTTTAATATAACGCATTATCGGGACGTACTCGCGGGCCCTGCCGTTCCCACGGGAAAAACGGGACGCGTTGAGTGTACCTATCGGCTAAAAACTCGCACGCACAGCGATACGTTACGCAACAATGCCTCCTGGCAATTACGTAAATGTAATTGGTTACCGGCAGTCGCGCATGCATTAACCGCGCATTTTCGCCGTTTAATTCGGTCCCATTTAA